ATACCATAGAAATACAAAGGATTGTAAGAAATTAATATGAACAACTATATGCCAAGAAATTGGGCAACCTGGGTGAAACAGAAAAATGACTAAAAACATACAATCTTCCAAAACTGAATCAAGAAGAAACAGAAAGCCCGAATAGACTGGTAACAACTAGTGAAAATGAAGCAGTAGTAAAAAATCTGGCACACAAAAGCCCTGGACCAGATGATTTCACAGGTGAATTTTACCAAACATTTAAAGAAGAATTGACTCCTCTCCTTTTCAGACCATTTCAGAAATTTCAAGAAGGGGGAAGATTCCCGAACTGTTTTATGAGGCCTATATTATCCTAATTTCAAAACCAGGTAAAGACACAAAAAAGAAAAAAAAAACTACAGGGCAATATGCTGATAAATATAGATGCTAAAATCCTCAACAAAATATTGGCAAACCAGATCCAGCAATACAAAAAGATCATAAACCATAACCAAGTGGGACTCATCCTAGAGATACAAGGATGGTACAATATTTGCATACCAATAAACGTTATATACCACATAAACAAAATGAAAGACAAAAATCACATGATCATATCAGTAGATGCTGAAAAAGCATTTGATAAAGTCCAGCACCCATTTATGATAAAAACACTGAGCAAAGTAGGAATAGAGGGAGCATACCTCAATATAATAAAGGCCACGTATGACAAACCTACAGTCAACATCATACTCAGCAGGCAAAAACTAAAAGCTTTCCCATATCTTAACAGGAACAAGACAAGGATGTCTACTTTCACTATTTTGTTGCTTTCACTTTTATTCTACATAGTATTGGAAATTCTAGCCATGTGATAAGACAAGAAAAAGAAATAAAACACATCCAAATTGGAAAGGAAGAAGTAAAACTATCATTGTTTGCAGATGACAGGGTACACAGAAAACCCTATAGTTTCTACCAAAATATTACCCAACCTAATAAGTGAATTTGGCAAAATAGAAGTCAGTATTCAGAAATCCAAGGCAGTTTTGTATACCAACAATGAAATATCAGAAACAAACTAGGAAAAGGTCCCATTTACTATAGCAACAAGAAAAATAAAGTACACAGGAATAAACTTAACCAAGGAGGTAAAAGACCTGTACTCAGAAAACTACAGAACACTGAAGAAAGAAATTAAGGAAGACACAAAGGGGAGCATGTTCCATATTCATGGATTGGAAGAATTAAAATTATTAAAAAGTCCATACTACCCAACCCAATCTATAGATTCAACCCAACCCCTGTTAAAATACCAATGGCAGTTTTCACAGATACAGACCAACTATTTCAAAAATGTACATGAAACCAAAAACCATCTCAAATAGCCTCAGTAATCTTCAGAAAGAAGAACAAAGTAGGAGGGATCACAATATTTGCTATCAAACTCTACTACAAGTCCACTGTAATCAAAACAGTCTGGTACTGATATAGGAACAGACACATAGATCAATGGAACAGAATAGAGAGCCCAGAAATAAACCCAAGTCTCTGTGATCAATTAATATTTGACAAAGGGGGCAGAGGCATAGAATGGAATAAAAGTAGCCTCTTCAATAAATGATGTTTGGCAATCTGGACAGGTACATGCAAAAAAATGAAACTAGGCCACCAACTTACACCATAGACCAGAATAAACTCGAGATGAATAAAAGACTTAAATATAATCCTGACACCATAAAAGTCCAGAGAAGAACATAGGCAGTAAAGTTTCATATATCCCGCACCACAGTATTTTGGCCAATATATCTCTAGGGTAAGGGAAATAATGGAAAAAATAAACAAATGGAACTACATCAAGTTAAAATGTTTCTGCATGGCTAAAGGAACCATCATCAAATTGAAAAAGGAACTGACCATATGGGAAAACATACTTGCCAATGGTGCCATGGACAAGGGTTTGATCTTGAAAACATGTATAGAACTCATACGACTCAAAACCAGGAAGACAGAGACAATCCAATTAAAAAATGAATGAAGAGTCTCAATAGACACTTCCCTAAGGGGATATAGATAGGGCCCACAGATACATGAAAGGATCCTCAGGATCACTAGCCATCAGAGATACGTAAATTAAAACCACAATGAGATACCACCTCACACTGGTCAGAATGGCCATCATTAATAAATCAACAAACAACAAGTGCTGGCGATGATATGGAGAAAAGGGAACCCTAGTTACACTGTTGGTGGGAATGCAGACTGGTGCAGTCAATGTGGAAAACAGAATGGAATTTCCTCATAAAACTAAAAGTGACCCAAGGATTCCACTGCTGGGGTTATACCTGAAGAATCCTGAAACACCAATTCGAAACAACCCATGCACCCCTATGTTCATAGCAGCATTATTTACAATAGGCAGGTGCTAGAGGCAACCTAAGTGTCCATCAATAAATAAGTGGATCAAAAAACTGGTACACTTACAGGATGGAATACTATACAGCAGAAAGAAAGAAGAAACTCCTACCCTTCATGACAGCATGGATGGAACTGGAGAGCGTTATGCTAAGTGAAATAAGCAATGTGTTGAAAGACAAAAACCATATGATCTCACCTATAAGAGGAACCTAATGAACAAAACAAACAGATGGGCAAAATAGAACCTGAGGCAGGGAAACAAAGAACATACTGATAGCAACCAGAGGGGAGGAGAGAGGGGCAGAAGAGTGGAAAGAAGAGGAATGGACTAGTCAATGAACATGTATGAATGACCCATGGATGTGGACAACAGTGTCGGAATTGCCTGTGGGAGTGGTGGGTGGGCTGGACCGAGGAGAGCAAAGGGGGAAAATTGGGACAAGTATAATAAACAACAGTAAAATATTTTTTAAAAAGGGAAAGTAAATTTTTAAAAACCCGCAACGAGATACTACTCACCGCCCATCATAGCTTGACTATGAAAAAAATAAACAACAGATGATAACAAATACTAGCAAGGACATAGAGAAATTTGTACTGTCATCTTCACTGTTTAGAATATAAAATGGTGAAGCTATTTTGAAAAAATCTGACACTCCCTCTAAGAGTTAAACATAGAATTAACATATAACCTCAAAATTCAAATACTAGGCATGTATCCATAAGAACTGAATATATATGTTTATACAAACACTTTTTCACAGCTACTTACAGCAAGGTTATTTATAAAGTCAAAAAGTGGGAAAAACCCAAATATCCATCAACTGAAATGGAGAAAGAAAAATATAGTATATTCATAACAGTGGAATATTACTCAGCTATTAAAAAGAATGAAGCATTGATACATACTGTAACATGATGACCCTTGAAAACATTATGCCTTGTGAAAGAAGCGTCACATAAAATGCCACATATTGCATGATTCCATTTACATGAAATGTCCAGAATAGCCGATCCACAGAGCCTAAAAGGGATTTAGTGGGGGTAGAGATGAATGGAAATGGACTGCTAATATGTATGGAGTGTCTTTTGGGGTAATAAAAAGAGTTTTAGAATTAAATCGTTGCGATCATTGTACAACTTTGTGCATACACTACAGACAACTGAAATACATTTAAAGGGTGAATTTTATGGTATGTGAATTGTACCTCAATGAAAATATGAAAACAAGAAAAAATAAATGCAGATCATGCTTGATTCTGGAAAGGCCGCCATGTCTAGAGGTCATAGAGATTCAAACCCGGAACCTTGGGATGACCTTTCTGGGCTGAAGCTGTAAATACAGATACTCTTAAAATATTTTAGAGAATATTACCCTTTTCTGTGTGGCAGTTCGGGTATGGCTTTTCACCTGTCCAAACTGTTCTTTCCTCTCATCAGAACGATTACTTTGTTTTTTTACTTACTTACTTAGACATAAAGGAAATTGGCATAGTAGTCTGCTATTGCATATTCAACTATGAAATTAAATGACAATAAAATTCAATTTGATAATCAGCTAAACTTTATTAGGTAAAGTAATGAGTAATAATCTAAGAAGAACACATGGCACATGTTGGGAAAGAAATGTTTGCTTAAAGAAAGGTCTTTTTTCCCCTAATTTCCTGATGTTCCTCAATCGCATCGCATATTTTTCTTCACTAGTTTTCCTTTTGTTTGTTCCCTTAACGGCCCCCATTACATTGTCTTCTCTCCAGACTTTGTGCTTCTAGCCTTAACAGTGGGTTGAGTAAACAATAAAATTCATTCACTTTTGAATACTGTAACTATTTAGTAAAATAATGTTGCAATAAATTTAGTTTTGCATATTTAAAGGTAAGACAAATGCTTCAACTTTTTAACTCTAATACTTATTCTTTTAAAAATATAAATACATTCCCTGGTTGGATATCTCAGTTGGTTAGAGCATCCTCTTGATACACAGAGGTTGTTAGATCCTCAGTCAGGGCACATACAGGAGTCAACCAATGAATGCATAAATAAGTGGAACAACAAATTGATAATTGATGTTTCTGTCTGTCTCCATCTCTCTCTAAAATCAATAAGAAAAAGATTAAAAATAAAATTATTAATACCTCCATTTAATATTTTACTACTTATTGTTAACACCAACTTGTTTTCACCTTAGTACATCTGTTAACATTTTAAATTTAGTAGTATAATCTATGCTTTGAGAGTATGGAAGTGATAACTCCATGAATTCAGCCTTTATTTTAAATTTCTTACTGTCTTAATACTTTATTTGTTATAACAAAGGAAATAATGTCTGTTGAAGTTATAGAATTATTGGGATGGTAAATGAGAAACTGTGGCGGAGACTCTTATTTAGGTACTCACCTGCTTCTTTTTTTTTTTTATAGCAACATATAGATCCTAAGAAGCATTTAAAAGCCTTGTACTTACCAGTGTAATGATTCTTAATTTCTATTAACCAGAAGAACAGGCACCAAAAAAACCATGCTTTTGGAACAAGATGTTTGAGATTAGGCCTGAAAATAATGGATTTCTCTCTTTTTTTCCCTTAACATGTAATACTGTATATATTTATTTTTCCCTGCCAGGTTTAAGAGCAGGACTAGCTGCCTCAATTGCTGGGAGTTCTATTATCAACAAAATGTTACTAGCAAATATCGATCCATTTGGTGCAACACCATTTATTGACCCAGATCCAGATTCATTGTAAGCAAATACTTCCACAGAGATTTTGTTTTGGCTCTTCTTGTTGCTATCTTATACTAATGGTAACATTTTAAATGTATTACAATAAGTAAGTTTCCAAGTATGAAAGGAATCATCAGAAAATTTCAAAAGTTGATAATGATGAGCACATTGATCCATTTGAAATACAGTGGCTTTCGTGATGTGTACCTGAGGTTGGTCCTTTCCAGCCTGTTGTCTCCGATAAAAAGCCTATGGCAAAACGAGACACCGCTCCACTCACTTTTCTCTGGAATATTTTATTCATTGACTCCTTCACGTTCATATTCATGCTCTTCCCTTCACCTCCTTTCTTCCTGGTCTTGCAATCTTTCCACATCTATTTTCTGGGCTTACTTATTTCAGGTACCTTTTGGCCCATATTGATTTCTTCCCTTCTAAAACTCCTAAAATTCTTTTTGGCAGTTCAATATATGCTTCCTTTTACTTTCATATTTCATTTTGCCTTTATTATTTCTAATTTCTCTAATGACAGTCCTCAACAACTAGTACCATATTTTAAACTTTGCACTTGCCAAAGCACCTAGAAAAATGGAATAGATCTAGTAGTTTTTTGGTCAGTATATATTTGTCCATTGATAAGAGAAGTAGAGTAAACTTTTTAATGATGAAAAAAGAGTATTGGCACCCTTCCCAATTGTGTGTGTAGTATGTGTCGGGGAGGGGTGCTCATTTAGGAGACAGAACTAAGATTTTGTTATGACTGGTACAAAAGCATTCCCATGATTCTTTCATCACTTTGTCTTTCCCACCATTCCTTTATATATTATCAACATTTATACCCATACACTGGGATCGTGCATATTGTAAATAGGAGGTGATTTCTGCTTAGCTTTATTCTCAGGAATGGAATCTTTAATGATTTTAAGTGCTGTGTATAAATTGTAATTGTTATGAACCTGAAATTGACTTTAGTGTACTTTTCCTTATTATCATAGAGATGGATATTCAGAAAAATGTGTCATGAACAATTACTTTGGAATTGGATTAGATGCAAAAATTTCATTAGAATTTAATAATAAGAGAGAGGAGCATCCTGAAAAATGCAGGTAATTTTGGTAATAGTAATAATGTTATTGCTAAAAGGCAATTTTACTTTAATTTCAGTTATTATCTCTTGCTTGCTCTGCCTTTAAAGACTAACTTAATAATAGTCACTGAAATTGCCTGCCAACGTTTATTATCAGGAGCCGAACTAAAAACCTGATGTGGTATGGGGTCCTCGGAACCCGGGAGTTATTACAGAGATCTTACAAGAACTTAGAACAGAGGGTTCAACTTGAGGTAAGTTCATTTGAAGTAAAGACATTTCAGGTTATTGTTGTTAGGCAGTTCATTGTATTTGCAGAGCTCATTTGGCCTAAATTCCTCTTGATTAGCATTTAAACACTCAAGGGGAAAAAATGGAAATAGTAATCACAGTTCTACTACAGAAGGTATAGATACTGGGTATGAGTGATTCCATTAATTATCATAATCATTAGCTCCTGTAACTTGGATGCTACTGCAGAGTGATGAGACCCTATAAAAAGGTTGAAGCTGCGGGAGTATATTTATAGGATAGCACTTTTAATGGATTTCCTCATTTAAACTTCCAAATACTGACCCAATTGGAAAATGCCTGGTTTCACAAATGCCTGAAAACAACATTAGTCATAAATAGAATCTTTTGATTGAAATATATTTTGTTCCAATTATTTCTAACAAGTTAGTAACAGAAAAAGATATTTTGAATATTTAAGGTTTTTTAGTATCTTTTACTACTTTTAAAAGGAAATTAAGGAAAGCAAAAATGATTTAAATCTCCAATAACAGGAGAAAGAAGGTTGGGGTCATGGCTCTGAAAAGTGACTTTGATTTTCTTTTACCCTTGGTCCAGGGCTCACTGTTCATGCTGATAGGCATATCTTTCCTATCTTGTATCTTTTTTATAACCAGATATTTGTAATTCAGGTATATGCTACACACTGAAAAGTGAACAAATCTTAAATCTACAGTTCATTGAATTAAGCAGAGCATTATTATTATGGTGTTTTCCTAACACTGGAATGTGAACAGGTGCCTGGTTTATTCCTTATCAACTAAATGTTCTAGTAAAGATAAACATCTTATACTTCCCGTTCTACAGACTGACTATTTGGTCAACTATCTTGATTCATCAATGCTTATAAAGTTAAGATAAATGTTACTTGCTGAAAAGGCACAGAATCAGGAAAGTTCAGTTATTAAATGCTGTTCTTGAAAAAAGAAGACCCTTTAACATTTTATGTAATGCTGATTTGGTGGTAATGTACTCCTTTAGCTTTCTTTTTTTTTTTTTTTTTTTTTGGTGGAGAGGGGAAGCTCTTTATCTGTCCTTCAATTTTAAATGATAGCTTTGCTGATTAAAGTAATCTTGGTTGTATGTTCTTGCTTTTCATCACTTTGAATATTTCTTTCCAATCCCTTCTAGCTTGCAAAGTTTCTTTTGAGAAATTATCTGACAATCTTAGGGGGGGCTCCCTTTTAACTAACTGCCTTTCTCTTGATGCTTTTAAGATTCTCTCTGTCTTTAACCTTTGACAGTTTAATTATGATTTGTCTTGGTTGGGCCTCTTTGGATTTGTCTTGTTTGGGACTCTTCTGGATTTCCTTCGCCAGGTTAGGGAAGTTTTCTGTCATTTTTTTCAGGTAGATTTCCAATTTCTTGCTCTCTCTCTTGTCCTTTGAGCACACCTGTGATGTAAATATTGGTATGCCTGAAATTGTCCCAGAGGCTTCTTACACTATCCTCATTGTTTTTTTTATTATATTTTATTGATTATGCTATTACAGTTGTCCCAATTTCCCCCCCTTACCTCCCTCCAACCCCTAATCTTTCAGTCAATCCTGATACCGTTGTTCATGTCCATGGGTCATATGTGTAAGTTCTTTGGCTACTCCATAGGTAGTGTGGTCTATACTGTACTTTACATCCCCATGACTATTCTGTAACTACCTATTTGTACTTCTTAATCCCCTCACTTCTTCACCCATTCCCCTATACCCTTCTCCTGTGTGGCAACCATCAAAACACTCTCCATATCCATGATTCTTTCTCTGTTCTTGTTTGCTTAGTTTGTTTTTTAGATTCAATTGTTGATAGATATATATTTATTGCTATTTTCTTGTTCATAGTTTTGATCTCTTTTAAAAATAAGTCCCTTTAACAATTTAACAAACATAATAATGCTTAGTGATGATGAACTTTATCTTTTTCTTGTCTGGGAAGCTCTTTATCTGCCCTTCAATTCTAACAGTTAACTTTGCTGGGTAGAGCAGTCTTGGCTGTAGGTTCCTCCTTTTCATGACTTTGAATATTTCTTGCCAATCCCTTCTAGCCTGCAAAGTTTCTTTTGAGATATCACCTGACAATCTTATGGGAACTCCCCTGTAGGTAACTAACTGCTTTTCTCCTGCCGTTTTTAAGATTCTCTCTTTATCTTTAACCTTTGGCATTGTAATTATGATGTGTCTTGGAGTGGGCTTCTTTGCATCCATTTTGTTTGGCACTCTATGTGTGTCCTGGACTTGTGTCTATTTCCTTCACCTGATCAGGGAAGTTGATTCCTTTTAAATTGTCCTTTATTTTAATTAGTGTATCCCTTGTTTCTGACTGGTTCTTCTTTATGGTTTCCATACCCTTTTCTATGCTGTTGAAATTATCACTAAGTTCACTGAGCATCCTTATAACCAGTGTTTTATACTCTGTACCTAGAATTGTGCTTATCTCTATTTTTTTTAGTTCTTTTTCTGGGACTTTGTTCTGTGCTTTTTTCCTTTGGCCATGTTTCTTTGTCTACTCACTTTGGCAGGCTTCCTGTATTTGTTTCTATGTATTAGGTAGACCTACTTCACCTCCCAGGCTTGGTAGTGTGGCCTAATGTAGTAGGTGTCCTGTAGGGTCCAGTGGCACAACCTCCTGTATTACCCAAGCTGGGTACTCAAGGTGTGCCCACTGTGTAGGCTTGGTACACCCTCCTGTTGTAATTGAGCCTTGATTGCTGTTGGCACATCCTAGGTGATCCACTGCCTATGTTCTGTCCAGGGTCACACAACCTAAGCTACAAAGTGATCTGCAGATGGCTGCTACTTGTCCTGGCCTTGGAGTTGTCCAGGAGAGGCCAAGCTGTGAACTGAGGCTGGCTGCAGCTAGGGCCAGGCCTGGGACAACTTAGTGAGGGGTATTGGGCTTACTGAAGTCAGATGCTGCTTGTTTGAGATAATTAAGGAAAATCTGAAGCATGAGCCATAAGCCATTCATATGGAAAAGCCACTTGGAAACAGATTGGGTGGTCCTGAAAGTTGGGTGATGCAGTGTGAGCCAGGTTGATGGAGTCTCAGATATGGCACCCACCTGCTGGCTCTTTAACTCTGTGGGGGAAGGGCTGAGAAAAGGAATGGTGGCCTCTGCCAGCACTTTTGTCTAGGAGATAGGTATCCTCCCAGCTCTCACCCTGATGCCGGACAATTCAGTTCCCCTCTGTGTGTCTCTTATGCCTTTCAATATGCTGCCCTCATGCTGGAGCTCAGAGGGAGGGAGCTGGAGCAAATTTGTGCATGGGCCCTTTAAGAGGAACTTCCAAGAAGTTCAGTAGTTTCTGTCTTCCGCAGCCTCCTTCCCTGCTATATGGAGTTTTCCCTTCCTGCCACTGGGCTGGCGGGCCTGGTGTAGGGCTGGGACTCTTCACTCTTTAGACATCCATCCTGATTTTTATCTGCCACCTGTGGGTGCGGGGCCTGCCTGTTCTGCATCTCCTCCCCTCCTACCAGTCAAGATGCAGTTTCTTCATTAATTCTGTAGTTGTAAGACTTCCATTCTGCTCAATTTCTGATGGTTCTGAATAATGGTTGTTCTATGGTTTAGTTGTAATTTTGATGGGGTTGTGTGAGGACACAAGCTGTGTTTACCTGTGCTGCATCTTGACCTCAAAATACTGTTTTTGAATGCATTATATAAAATACATAGACATACAAAAGAAACCAATAATAACTGAAATAATTTAACAATGTATTTTTAAACTATTAGAGAGTATGTTAAAGTAAGCAATTTAAGTAGAACTTCCTTCTGAAGATACTCACTTTTTTATACCATGCTTCCAACTAAAGTATATTCATTTATAAATTATTTTTACATTATTTTCATTTACAAATATTTATGACTTCTGAATTTTTTAATTTATTTTTTTTTTATTTCTATAAGTTTTTAATTCAATTTATTTTTTAAAAAATGTCTGCCATTTCTTCTACCCTTACTCCTCATCTCTTGGCAACTGCTAGTCTTTTCTCTGTGTCTTTCAGCTTGTTTTTCTTTTGTTAATTCCATATCTAAGAGAGAATATATGCTATTTGTCTTACTCTGACTTACTAACCTAATATAAGGCCCTCAAAGAATTTTTTGTCACAGATGGCTGGATAACATTCTATAACATATACACCACATTTTTTTGATCCATTTTTTCATTGATGGATACTTGGGGTGTTTTATATCTTGGCTATTGTAAATAATGCTACAGTGAACGTGGGTATGTATATGTCTTTTCAAAAGAGTATTTTAATTTTCTTCAGATAAATTCCAGAAATGGAATTGCTGGATCGTATGGTAGATCTATTTTTCATTTTTTGAGGAGCTTCCATAGTATTTATCATATTGGCTGCACCAATTTACATTCCCACCATCAGTGCACAAAGGTTCTCTTATCTCTACAGTCTCACCAACACTATTTCTCATCTTTTTGATAATAGTCATTCTAACAGATTTGAGGTAATATATCATTGTTGTTTTGATTTGCATTTCCCTGATGATTAATGATGTAAAGAAGCTTTTTATGTATATGTTGGCCATCTTTATGTCTTTTAGGAAAGAGGTCTATTCAGATCTTCTGCCCATTTTTAATCAGATTGTTTATTTTGCTATTGAGTTGTATGAGTTTTTTTATATATTTTGGATATTACTCCCTTATCAGGTATACGACTTGCAGTTATTTTCTCCCATTCAGTAGGTTGCTTTTTCATTTTGTTGGTGGTTTCCTTTTTTGTGCAGAGGTTTTTAGTTTGATATAGTTACACTTCTTTGTTCTTGTTGTTTCATTTTATTCTTTTTTTGCTTTTGTTGCTTTGGATTTTGGTGCCAGGTTCAAATAATCATCACCACTACCTACGTCAAAGAGCTTTCCACCTATGTTTTTTTCTAGGAGTTTTGTGGTTTCAGGTCTTATGTTCAAGTCTTTAATTTACTTTGAGTTAATTTTTATGTATTGTATTGTATAAGATAGTGGTCCAATTTCATTATTTTTCATGTGGCTTCCAGTGTTCCCAGCACCATTTATTGAAGAGACTGTCCTTTCTCCACTGTATATTCTTGGCTTCTTTTTTTGTGAATAATTGACCATATATGAATGGATTTATTTCTGGACTCTCTATTCTGTCCCATTGATCCATATGTCTTTATGGCAATACCATACTGTTTTAATTACTATAGATTTTTAATATAATTTGAATTCAGACAGTGTGATGCCTCCAGCTTTCTTCTTTCTCAAGATTGCTTTAGCTAGTTGGGGCCTTTCATGGCTACATACAGATTTGAGGATTATTTGTTCTAATTCTGAGAAAATACTTTGGGATTTTGATAGGGATTACATTGGACCTGTAGATTGCTTTGGGTAGTATGAATATTTTATTATTTTTCTATTTTCTTTATTTTTTTATCTTCACCCAAGGACATGCTCTTTGATTTTAGAGAGAGAGAAAGGGAGGGAGGGTAGGAGAGATGGACAAACAGACATTGACATGAGAAAGAAAATTGATTGGTTGCCTCCCATACACACCATGACGGGGGATCAAACCTGCAACCTGTTGGTGTACGGGATGACACTTAATCAACTGAGCCACCTGCCAGGGTGGTAGTATGAACATTTTTAAAATATTAATTCTTTTAGTCCATGAACAAGTAATATGTTTACATTTATTTGTATCTTTAATTTCTTGTATTAAAGTCTTCTAATTTTTTTAAAGATAGAAGAGATCAATTTTTTAAGATTTTATTTATTTATTTTTAGAGAGAAGGGAAAGGAGTGAGAGGGAGAAAAACATTGATGTGCCAGAGAAACATCAATCAGTTGCTTCTCACATACTCCCAAATGGAGACCTGGCCCGCCATCCAAGCCTGTGCCCTGACTAGGAATCAAACTGGTGACCTTTTGGTTTTTTGCATGATGCTCACCCCATTGAGCCACACCAGGAAGGGCATAGTTTTCAATATGCAGGTTTTTCACATCTGTGGTTAAATTTATTTATGAGTATTTTATTCTTTTTGCTTCTATTATATGTGGGATTTTTTTTTCTTAATTTCTTTTTCCTACAGTTCATCATTAGTAGATAAAATGCAACAGATTTTTGTATATTGATTTTGTATCATGCAACTTTATTAAATTCATTTATTTTAACAGTTTTTTGATCGAGTATGTTGTCTTGTTCCTGATCTCACGGGGAAAGCTTTCAGCTTTTCAGGTTGGAGTATCATGTTAGCTTTGAACTTACTGCACTTGTATATGACCTTTATTATAAAAACTTTAGGGGATCGCTCTGAGTTGTTTTTTGAAATATTTCTTTGTATTTATAGTGATAGTTTTTTCATCTCCTTTATGTTAGTTATAGAATTCAAATCTTTCTAAAGAACACAAGGGTGTCTGTTCAGAATATTGAGTTCAGGGGAAGATATTTAGTGTTCTTCCATTTAACATACACTGAGCACCAGCTGCGGTGCCAGGAGTGGCCCCAGGTGCTGGAAGACAGTCTGAAACTTTGACTGTGTTTCATGCAAAAGTGAAGAAAGGAATTTTTTAAAAATGCCTGTGTCGGGGTGGGGGGCGTAAATCAAGTATAACATTCTCAGTTATTTCAAATGGTTGAAAAATGGGTTCAAACTGGATTCTCATTTGTTCTAAAGATTGCAGATAATTTTGATTGGACATTGAAATGGAGTTCTTATAAAGTTCTGTTAGTGTTAACGTAAGAATTATTTAATGAAAATATAGCATGTATTTTAAGTATGGCACCTGCAAGCTCTTCTGTTTTAAAATGAAGGCTTAAATCCTCTATTCAGTGAGAATTTATTCATGTCATGTATAATTGATTCTTTTTTCTTTTTAAAGTGATAATGTAATTTTCTTTTAAGTGATTAATTAGAAGACATGGAGTATAAGATAGTTTTAGACTTGCTTTTTCTTTTCTTGGTTTTGTTTCTGATACTTAAAAATTCAGTTTTGAGTTTAACCAGTCACTAGTTAGTAACAGAGCACCAGCAAAATACCAGGATTTGTGAGAGATGCTGGATGGGATGGTTAGGACTCAGAGTCCACCCTCACAGCAGCCACTTTCAAAGGAATGCTTAAAATAAGGACCAGAATAAGCATAATATAAGTAAGAATATAATAACTGATCTGAAAAAGAAACTCAAGAAAAGTACTGCCTGAATTTGGTTGAAAGAAGTAAACCTTTTTTTTAGTGCAGTTTGCTATAAAAACTTCTGCTATAGTTGTTTACACTTTAAATTGTTTTAATTAAAACCAAATAAGATAAAAGTAATGTGTAGGAATATTTTTACAGGAAAACAGTCATTACTGGCACACTTTCCTCCATCACCCTTTGTCTTTGGTATACTTTTGGCTTCCAAACTAGTGGTTTTGCCTTTTATATCTAACTTCTAAGCTTTTTACCTTACAGTGTGATGGACAATATATTCCTCTCCCCAGTCTGCAAGGAATAGCAGTATTGAACATTCCCAGCTATGCCGGAGGCACTAACTTTTGGGGTGGAACTAAAGAGGACGATGTAAGTATTTCCTTCCTCTTTCCAGATTCTAGAGGCTGCCCACATCCCCTGGCTTGTTGCACCTTCCTGTCTTCAGAGCCAACAAAGGTGGCGTGAGTCTTTCTCACATTGCATCATTCTGATCTCCTCTTTTGCCTACCTCTTCTACTTTTAATGATCTTTGTGAATACATTGGGCCCACCCGCATCATCCAGGATAATCTTCCCATCTCAAGATCCCTAATTTAATCACATCTGTCAAGCCTCTTTTGTCATACGATGAGATCACATTCACAGGTTCTAGAGATTAGGCCATGGACATTTTGGGGGGTGGAGGGGGACATTATTTTGTCTACCAGAATACCTTTCTGTACTTTCAGTTTTCTAAATTTATTTCTAAATGTGATATTGTTTTTAAAATTATTTTTAGGAATGTTAAGAGGGTTCTTTTGGCCATTGAGGTTGGGGGCTATTTTTGTTTAGTTTTCATAGTTTTATATATTTAAAAAAAAAACTTAACAAAGCTAACTGTTCTCAAAATAGCTTTTAAAAAGAGAGGGCACAATTATTGAAGTATATATAACAAAAATGAGCAGTGTTACCGTCTGAAGAGTCACATACATTACGTGATAGGCCTTTGATGAGGCTTATGGTATAACACATCCACTGACCCATCTTCTTGGAGCTCATAAATAAGCAGCCAGGAATTAAAGTGTGAAATAAATTAGAAAACATTTGTAATTTTCATGATATGAATATATTCCAATCCTATTGGGGTATAAAAACTAACATTAGCAGTCAGTTTTTTGTCATCCTGCCACTACTCAAATACTTTAAGGGGAAGAAATCAGTGATATTAAGATAAATGAAGCTAACATTCCTTGAACATCTACTAGGTAGTCAGTGTTCTGAGCACTACACATTGATTATTTAATGCCTGATTTTCATCTAAATTTTATCAATTAAGGAACTGATGCTAAATTTACACAGTTAATAAGTAACAGATACATAGTTTAAAACTAGGCAGTCTGATTTTAAAAAATGATATGAAATATCAACATTTGCAAATTTGTGTTCTGACATTTTCAGTGAAAGTTTTAATTAGGATGCTACTTTGTACTGAATAATTTTTTTTTGAAATGCACAATTATTTATGATATAGTAAAAAAGAGAGTAAAACGGACAAAGCAACACAGGTGAAATTTTAAAGTTTTAGGTTATTTTTTTGAAAACACAGTTAACATCAAAACAAAATAAGCCTACCTGATTTTTATCCCGTGAGGTTCCTATGTCCATATTCTCAAATGCTCTAAAGAGTTGTTGTATTAAGATATAAAGCACATATACATATTACTTTGTCACACCTTGAAAGATTTCCCTTAGAACATACCAGGTGGCCCTGGTAGCACAGATTAGAGCATTGTTCCAATACACCAAGGTTGTGGGTTTGAGCCCTGGTCAGGGCACATATAAGAACTGACCGATGAATGCATAAATAAATGGAACAACCAATTGATATCTCTCCCTCTCCCTCTCCCTTTCTCTCTCTTTTGTTCCCACCCCTTCCTCTCTCTCTTTAAAATTAATTTAAAAAACACACCAAGTAAACTGGATCATAATCTGCATGTTCATTAACTTTAACCTTATGAAATCTCTATCACCTCTCAGGATTTTTAGGTTTACTTAAAATTGCATGCATCATTTTGTCAAGACATCAGAGTTATCTTTCAGATATTTAATACCAAGATGAATTATGAGGGGCATGAGTGTGGTGTCATGAAGGTCTCAAAACCTGTTTTTATTATGTTTGTTTGTTTTAAGCCATCTTCAATGATATTTTTGTTTTGGGGTTATCATTTCCTACTAATATTTATTTTTCTTAGTATTTTCATGATTTTTTAAAAATAGGTATATTACAGAGTTTACATTGCTTGATGTGCCACTTTAATTAAACTTTAATTTTATTAGTGGAAGTGTAATGTGGTTTTCTCTTTCAGATATTCGCTGCACCATCATTTGATGACAAGATCCTGGAAGTCGTTGCAGTATTTGATAGTGTGCAAATGGCGGTTTCAAGAGTCATTAAACTACAGCATCATCGAATAGCCCAGGTTTGTTTTTCTAATGACGCCTGACTTTACTAGGTGGGACACTGGGGAAGCTATTTTACATGACTCCTACATCTATAAAATATTTAAGTTCTCCCAATGTCAGTTACCACTATGTCACCACAAGTGGAAAAGTCTAACATACTGTTCCACAGCATGGACCAAAGGTCGAGCTGGAATGCAGATTGTGTGTCAGTTTCTCAAGATGATTTGTACTCTAAAATAACCTGTTTTGTTTCAGTGTCGTACAGTAAAAATCACCATATTTGGTGATGAGGGAGTGCCAGTGCAGGTGGATGGCGAAGCGTGGGTTCAGCCTCCAGGGATTATCAAAATTGTGCACAAAAACAGAGCTCAGATGCTAACAAGGGACAGGGTATGTAACCAAAAACCTTCCTCTAGATTTTTATCAAGCTTTCTAAAAAGAATCTTAAATTATCATAAAAAAGTAGAAATTAAGGAAAATGATTTAAATTGTCTTTTAAATCTGACAGTTAAGTCATTATGGTTTTAAATATGAACAAATATTTATTCAGTCTTTTAAAATATTAATAGACTAATTTCTTTTAGGTTTACAAAAAAAATGAGACAGAAAGTATAGAGAAATCTAATTCTGATCCCACATACCTCATCACCTGGAGAAGCACAGGAATTCCTCTATTATTAGAATCTTGTATTAGTACATTATAATTGATGAGCTAATATTGATACAATATTATTACCTCAAGTCCATAGTTTACTATTAATGCTGCACATTCTGTGGGTTTTGACAAATGTACAATCACTTGTATCCGCCATTACAGGATGACACGGAGTAGTTTCACTGCACTAAAAGTTCCTTTTGCTCCACCCGTCCATTCCTCCCCCTTTTACCCTAGCCCCTGGCACCACCGATCTTTACACTATATCCATAGTTATGCCTTTTCCAGAATATGCATTTTTAATTAAAGCCACACACATAACAAATAAGACTACCTATGTCCATCCTATTTATTACACATATAATAATAAAGATTGAAGCTGTCCTTTTTTTTTTTAACATTTTAGTAATATATATTTATCATCTCTTACATTACTTTTTACTTATCGTATATTGGAAAACTTTAAAGTATGTGTTTCGTACTTATGATTTATTTAATGATGTGTTAGATTAGGAAAAAAACAATAGTAGTTTCAAAGTCACTCATATAATATCTAAATACACATTTATGTAGGCCTCAGAGCTTTAAACCTGTTCATTGTAATGTTGACTTTAAATAGGCTTTTGAAAGCACTCTAAAATCTTGGGAAGAGAAACAGAAGTGTGATTCTGATAAACCAGTTCTTCGAACGCATTTGTACATCCAACATGCCGTTGATTTGGCCACGGAGGAGGTGTCCCAGATGCAGCTGTGCTCCCAGGCTGCAGAGGAGCTCATTTCCAGGTTTGGTTGTCCTGCTGGCTTGTGGCCTATGAGAACTCTGGTCTTGGTCCCTTTTGTTTTCTTAGTTTTAATACGTCACTTCAGTTGTTTGGGGTGTCCAAAAGAGATACATTTACTCTCCTTCATTTTCTGCCTCAATGCTTGTTCTCCTTCATTAGATCCCCTACAACACATATATATACTCACACCTGTGTTCTCTACACAACAGATCTCAGACTTCTTGAAACATAAAGGCTTGTGGAGAGCTTGTCTAATATACCCTACTGCACAGTATTCTTTCTGTTATTATTTCCCCAGTTTATAAGCAATCTTACTGACTTACATATTGCCTTATAATTAATTATTAATTAAATCTTGATGGACTGTAGAAGGAAATATAAACATTGCTCCCAAGGAGAGTTGGGGAAGTGGGAAGGAGTCCAAGAATCAGTTTCCAACAGACATATCACAGAGACTGGGAGACCATACAGAAATTAATTTAAGTTCCAGATAAAAATCCCTATGACCAGGAAGTAACCTTCAGAGGGGAGGAGGGACTGTGGACAGGTGGGGATAACCAAGCGCTGCCTGACGAGGTCACTGTGAATGTTAAATGAGACCTGTGGATAGTGCTTATTGACACATCCTATCTGGCACATTTTGTGTTCTCTGAATGCTAGCTATTATATTCTTCCCACACGTTCAGCTGGTTACTCATTAAAATGTTGAAAAAGAAGAAAAACAAAGCTCAAGGGTACTAGGGGCTTACCTGCCCCATTTTCCTCTCTCCTACCCACTGTCTGCTCCACTTCTCTCATTCCTTACTCTTTTCTTTAAATATTTGTCAGATACCTAGAATGTAATTGATACTAAAGATATTTTTTATTCATATTTTAAAAAATATATATACTCTTCCTACTGCTGGAAACATTCAAAATTAGAATAAAGTATGATACCTGCCATATACTGAGAAGCTTAGAAAAAAATGTTGGGAAAATGAATACTTAGCTAAACTCATATAACTTCATTATTGTACATTTTAGCTTCTTATCTACAGAGATACTAGATTTAGAGAAAGTACATCTCAATTAGATGCTATAGACAACGTCTGTGGACTCCAATTCACAGTGTTTTTCCTCCAGATTTATTAACGTATAATTCACATAAGAATTATATATATATTTAAGGTATACAATGTGATGATTTAATATATGTCTACATTGTAAAATGGTAACCACAATCAAGCTAATTAACACATTATGGAAAACAGTACGGAGGTTCCTCAAAAAATTAAAAATAGAACTACATCATTTTCTTAAAACCAAAATATGCTCCCCTGAAACCAAAATACACTTCCTATATTATCATCCTGTCAACCAACCAAATAACCTTATAAAAAAGGGAAGCATAGCTCGGCCAGACTTGGTTTTGGTCAACCTAGTTTGGTTCCCCATCTGCTCTTTAAAATTTTGCAAATGATGAAAATCAGGCTCACTTGTCAATTCTCAGGATTCAGTCATTCAGTATTCAATGAGTATTTTGAATACTGTGCTGGTCACCATTTTCATCACTGGGAATGCCAAGGTAACTGCTGCAGTCCCTCTTAGTTTGTGGGCAGAGTGGGAGGAGGGAGAAGTGTGGCCGGAGTGTTGTCACAGGTCACAAAGTGGGTGCTGTAGTTGCACGGAGGAGGCCAGAGGCAGTGAGGCGCCTGCCAGGAGGAAGTGACCTCTCTCTTGACTCTTGAGAGAAGAGTCGGAAAAGAGCAAACTGAGCAGGGGCGCCCGTCTAGGCAAAGACCCAGAGGAGTGTGAGTACCTGGCACTTCCGGGAAACCTCAGGGAGTTGGAGGTGACTGAAATGATGGTGCATTTGAGGATGAGGAGATGTGGAAGCAGAGCAGAGGAGGGGCCACAGCTTTTTCAGGGCATTTCTAGAAGCAGTGTGGAGCATTGTCTGCAGCCAGCAAAGCTGAGGCAGGTGAATGCTGTCATAAGGGTCCTTAGGAAATGGTGGGTTGAGGCAGGAGACATGGAAAGAGGAAGAGAGATTTAAGGTAGGTTAGGATCTAAGATGAGTAGTACAGGAGTGTGAATTAGGAGACAGTATAGCCCAAAGGTTTCCGGTGAAAGTCTGGATGGACTGCATTGCCCTTGAGGAAGCCATGGTATTCAGGAGAAGGAGCAGATTTTGAGAGAGAAAATGAAGTAGGGTGAGGGTGGGGCTTCTGGGTTAGACTTAGAGAATTTCGATTATGTTAAAAATATCTAGGAGAAGATTCACTTGGCAGTTAGAAATGTTGGTCTGAAGTTGATTTACCTCTTTATCTATCTTTGAAAATCAGAACAACATTTACCCATCTCCATTCTGTTTAAATAACCTATTCTTTATGATTTCCCTAGGTTATTGGTAAGAATACTGAGGTGACATTTGCAAGTTCCTTTAGGCCTTGGACATCAATTGTGTGATCCTCAAGAATTGAACTCTTTTCCTTTACTCTTGATTCAACTATGTAGGACTTCTGTCTCTTCTTTTGTCCTACCCTTTCTAGATTGAAAATCATTCTCCTTGAAGATGTGAGAAACAAAAAGGGTTTGAATAGTCTTGCCTTCTTGCTCATCTGCAAACTACATTTTCTAGCAGTTGGTAGAACTTTTCCTCTGTTCTATTCTTTGGCCTTAGAGCCCTGCAGGATTTTGTCTTTCTAGGACTATTCTTGAAGGTTTCAGTTTCAGAGAATACAACACACTAGTCTTTAGAGTTGGGTAGACATAGATTCAAATCCCGACTCTATCATTTATTATTAGCTCTGGGTACATACTAAATCTCTATGACCCTTAATGTCTTCATCTATAAAGTGGAGAAAGTCACAGCTGTCTTTTACATTTTGAATATTAAATTAGATAATACATATAAAGCCCTTAGCATATAGATGATAGATATGGCAGTGTTCTTCCCCTAATCTGTTGTATTTGATCCTGGTTGAAGTTTCAATGAATCAGATTAAATTTCTACTCTCTACATTTGGGACCCCTCTCACTTTCCAGTGATACTGCAAAATGAAGCGTGACTACATTTTGTTTTTCCAGGTAGCACATTAGTGTATTTATCTCTGATTCTAAGCCTTACTTTTTATATAAAGATTTTTAGTTTAGGCCCTGGCTGGTGTGGCTCAGTGGACTGAGCGCTGGCCTGCAAACCAAAGGGTTGCTGGTTCAATTCCCAGTCAGGGCACATGACTGGGTTGTGGGCCAGGTCCCCAGTGGGGAGCGCACGAGAGGCAACCACGCATTGATGTTTCTCTCCCTCTCTCCCTCCCTTCCCCTCTCTAAAAATAAATAAATAAAATTTTAAAAAATAAACTTAAAAAAAAAGATTTTTCGTTTAGTATTCTTTGTTGCAATGGGGTTTGAATTTTGTAAATCTGCCCTGTGCCATTCATAATTGAAGTTCTTTTTTAAAAAGTTTCCCTTAATGGCTTTTATTTTTTTAACTTGTTTTATTCTACCACTTCTATGCTTCAGAAAGATCAGCGATGCCCAGAAAAGTGTTTTGCTCATTTATTTTGGTTTTGCTTTCAGGATTTGTGATGCCGCCACAATCCACTGTCTTTTGGAGCAAGAACTGGCACATGCAGTGAATGCCTGCTCCCACGCACTGAATAAAGCCAACCCTCAGTTCCCAGAGGTGAGGAGTTAATGGTAAATTTCATTGCACAGATTTTTTTTAATGTTACACGTGTATTTTGATACTATAAAACGTGCACTTTGAAAGAGTGGTATATAGTCTAGGTGACTCTTTGTCAGAACGTTATGGTAAATTTGTGGCCAAATTTTTCTTTTATTTTCTTCTTTCTACCATTTTTCTATTCCTGCTCTTACGTTCTCTTCATGTTTTCTATTTAATTTTCCATTATTTATCACCTCACTAACTTCATTCTACTTTTTCTCCCTTTAACTGCCACTGTTCATCCTTATTTCTTTTACCTTCTCCCCTGCACCTAGACACAGAACAAACCTAGGTATCATGCATTTTATTAAACATATTCATTCATTTTTGAAGTTGTGCCCTGAAATTATTTTTATTTCATTTTGTTTTACTAAATTAATTTAGTAAATTTTTAATGTAGATATTAAAATTTTGTAGAATAATAGAACGGCTGTAACTCCCTTGAAATGTGATACATTATAAAAGGCTATAGTGTATAGAAAATAACTTTTTTTATTATTTTAATTATTCAGTTGAAGTTAACCATATTAATACAAGAGGGCAACACAGAAAAACAAAATTATCTCCTGGAGAGCGGGCACCTTGTAGCACACGCTTCCCCCACCAGGCGAGTGTTCTGGGAATCCATCTGTATCAGGGTACCATCTGACATTGTGAAAGGCTGCATTCGGCTTCAGTGAATTTTTTTTGAAGACTTAACACCTTTTCCCATTTCATGATGGGTGATTTATGAGCATACCTGCCCACACTGCACTGGGTATTCAGCAGTTTTTGACCCAAAACGGTATGACCCCCATACCTCACTCTCCCTGTTCACCTGATCTCATCCTAAGCCACGTTTTTTGTGTCCCTGAGTGAAAAAGGGCCTCAAAGGGAAACATTTTGCTGATGTGGAAGAGGTGGAGGTGAAATGAAAAAAGGCAGGAGCACTAAAAGGCATCAAAATTAATGAGTTCAAAAACTTCTCTGAGCAGTGGAAAAAATGTCTCTCGTTAGGTGTATGGCATCAAATGTAGAGTACTTTGAAGGTGACTGAAGTTTCAACATGCAAGGATAAATACACAATTTTTTATAAATAAATTCTGGGGTTTTTTGAGTCTCCCCTCATGTACAAATGGTTAGTCCTTTGGGGTAAAGTCTAAAAAGCAGTCTGGTTGGAACTACTGAAAGTGAAAGTCATGGATAGAACTAATTATGATCAGATGATGATAATGCCCCTTTTAACGCAATTTTCTCTGACTTTTTTATGGGAATATGTATACATTGTTGCCAGCATACACAATTTGTATGTAGCAGATGTGGTCCTAAGTGTATTCACTAGAGTCATTGCCTGCAAGAATTAGAAGAGTAATTATGCTAATAATCATGACTGTGAAATTGTGCAGTTATAATAGAATTATGGTAGATTTTTAAAAATATTTGTGATGTTGAATCCCAATTTAATACAGAACCACTTGCCTTTGATTTTTTTTTTTTCTAGAGTCTTACGAGAGACACTGCCACTGAAATAGCCATTAATGTGAAGGCACTATATAATGAAACAGAATCTTTACTGGTTGGCAGAGTTCCTTTGGTAAGGAAAAGAAATGACTCGTCACATAAGCATGATGTTAGATATAAGAGTTTTATCTTCATTAGGGAGCATGTAAACAGCCTTCCAGCCTCCAGCCTTGGAATTGCCTTTTTACCTAGCTTTTGCCTTTAAGAAAATAAAAACCTAAACCTGGGAGTGAGTTAACAATTCAGGCTAACGAGATTTTCCCTCACATACACGCACGTTTTCAAGGAATTCTGCTCTCCCCAGTCAGCTTTGAAAAACTTGAGTTTATAAAGTGAAGTAGACATTCCTCTAGTATCATTAACTCGCTATTGCAAAACAGTAGAGGAAATCATAGATTTGTTCTCACAATTAACATTAAAATATGATTGGTATGGATTTCCAGATTCGCTTAAAAGACCGACATTTTCTAGACTCAGTGTTTCAAAAACTAAATTTCAAAAAGTAGCCATGTTCCTGGATTAACTCAGATTGGTGCTGGGCATCAAGGTCAAGTCTGCATCTGACAACAGTCCATGGCTCTCTAGCTTAAGTGCTGGAAGACCATAGGTGTCCTGTTTGGTTTGTCTCTTCAGCCTCTATTCCCTTCACGGGTTTCAAATGTTCTAGCATGTTGGATCTTTTCGCCACCTAGTGTTGGTTTGTGGGTTATTCACACATGCTGTTGTAATTATAGAAAGCCTCATTTTTCTTCCTTGTAACAGTTCGTATTAAGTTAGTTGATGATCTTAAAACATTTCTCTTGATTGTAATTTTATTTCTTCCTTTGGAAAATATACACTTACATAAAAGTGATTAGTAAAAGTCATAGTACCTGGCACAGTAAAAAAATGGAGGTGTGTCACATAGTATAGCTAACAAGTGACTGTAGTTGGAATTTCCGTTTGATTGGGGTTCAGAAGAGTGCTGCCCTCAGAGCTTCCTTTACTCTGAGAAAAGAAGCTGAAAGGCTGCATGAAGTGCATTGCTCTCACCTACCTCCAGAGGCAGCTGAAATACAGCTTCCATAATGCGAGAGGTCGCTGCTTCTCATGTGGCCATGAAGAAAAACTTTTAGAGAGAAACATTGGTTATAACTTTTGATAAAACCATTGGGAATCTTGGCTATTCTTGATACTTCTATTATTAACCAGATTCTCTTGCCTCTCTTCTAAAATTAGTCCTGTAGGAAATCTAGTGAGCTGTGACTTTGGTCCCAGTTTTTGGATAGGGGACATGTATTTTTTTGTGTGTTATTTGAAGTACATTTAAGGTGGTTTCTGATTGACAAGAACTAGAAGCATAATTTATTCTCTATTTTAGTTCTCTACACAGAAAGTATCCATTGAATGTTATTTGGTTAATATTTATCAATTATATCATTTTAATATAGAAGGACAACCCCCTCCACTTTCAATGCTTGTCATTGTCAGAAAGTGGATGCTTATTTAAAATGTATGCCACTAAATTTTATCAAATTTACCTTTGACAATGCTAATATCACCATAAAGAGTCAATCATAATTTGAGAGCAACTAAGGTTTACTCTTTATTTTGATTCTAGAATGAATATACAATTACCATTTTATCAGTTTTGTAAGAGATATATTTTTAGACTGAAAAGAAAGTGGTAAATTTTATATGACAGGCTGGAGGACCACCATGTTTTTATTAACTACTAGAAATGGTAGATACCTTAAATAACGGAGGGAAAAATATAATGTACATAACAGTAACATTCTCTCTGAACTTTCAGTTTAAAATCCTGTGAACCTATATGTAGTACTCTATAATTTTAAAGTAACTTATAAAAATACTGATTAGCTGGAAGAGACCTTAGAAATAATCTAGTCATATCCTACTATTTCTTGAGGAGGAAACTAAGACTCCTGAAATCAATTAACCTTCCCTTGGTTGCAAAGTTAGTAACAAGTCCAGAACTAGAATTCAGGCACCTCCCTTCCAGTTCTTTACATACAAGTGTTTATTTTACCTTCATTCATTTATTGACTTTATAAATGCTTTCTAATAGCTGTTTTGAGTGGGGAGATAATAGGTGACCAGTTAAGTTCTTCTTAAAGTTTACAAACCTTCTTCCAGATTACAGGCTATTTAGGTTTTTGCTTTGCCTTGATTTTTACAACAGCTTTTCATCAGAAATTTTTCTGAGATTTGTGAGTGTTTTTTCCCTTAATCTTATTAACTTTCATTCTCCAGGAGATTTTCTGCTGAGCAGTTCTTTTTTATATGATGGATTTTTTTTTATTAGTTTTCAAAACATTATTGTTTGTTCACTTAGTGACCTATGTAAATCAGAAGGATCTTTGTCAGAAATATGAGATTATTCACTAAAGCAAAAGTCACACTAGCTTATATCATGGGAAGGAAGAATAAATCTATCAAGATTTTTTTCAGTGAACCCAGTATAAGATAATTTGTTCTTTTTAAATACTTGTTTATATTAAAAACAACTACCACAATAACAACAACCTCACCTAGCCTAATAAGAGATGAGGATATTCATTATCAAATAAAATAATTTATTCTGTTTGAGGTTGGGCACTGAGCCTTATTTTGTTTTGTTTTTAATCTGCTGGTAAATAGCATTTGGAATCTCCACATGAAGAGCGGGTGTCCAGTGCCTTACACTCTGTGGAGGTGGAGTTACAGAAATTAACTGAGATTCCCTGGCTTTATTATATCCTACACCCAAATGAGGATGAGGTATGTAAAATTCAGCCTGTTTCTTTATATTTATAGACTTGATAATGATAGAATTTGAACTCATCTTTTGTAAAAAACATATTCAGGGGAAAATAAATTTTGAATATTATTTTCAAACATACCATTCATGAACAAACAAGAAATGGCCTTTATGTGAACCAAGGTAACTTATGGGATCAATACATTTTCAGTAGCATATGACGTCGTGAACTTTTTTGAAGTTATCACGTCAACGTTTTGTGTTTCTAACCTATTCCTGTTACCTCTAATATTAGAGTGGGATTGTCTTCTCTTACTATCTTGAGAAAATTCTTTTCTTGCTCCACTTAAACAGGAGCCGCCTATGGATTGCACCAAGAGAAACAACAGAAGCACAGTATTTCGTATAGTGCCAAAATTTAAAAAGGAAAAGGTTCAGAAGCAGAAGACAACTTCACAGCCTGGTAGGTGGTCCACAGTGGCAGGGGTGGGGGTGGGGATTGTATAACATTATGGAAAAATAGCATTAAAATGATACCACTGAGGTGATAAAGTGTTCCAGATAGTGGCAATCATTGTACAACATTTTGAATGTACTAAGTGCCACTATAAAATGAATAAAGTGGTGAGTTTTACTTAATGTTCATTTTACTGTAATAATTATATTGTACCTAAAATATGTTCAAATATCAGAGGAATTAATACATATGAAACACATGAGAAAATGAGGTAGTTGCTGATTTGTAACTTTGGTGAATGTCAGTACATCTGTTTGGTCTCTGTCTTGCTCACTAGCAATTCATGGCATTGCGTGTAAATTGTTTTTCGTCTTCAGAGCTCCAAATCTAGATCATTTTGATGAATGGAACATAGAAACTCTCATATATTCCTTTTGCTTGCTAAATGTATTTTCTACCTGAAGGTCTATATTTTCCCTCTCCAGCTTTAAGGACTTACTGCACCCTTTCAGGCCCCCAGTGGTGGCAGTCTGCTGTGACACTGGCATTCTCAAGCAAAGATTAAATTCTCTCTTTAAAACTATCTTTCTAGTTCCCATCCCACCTCTCCCTAGAGATTCAACTTACTGCTGTACTGGTGCTAAAGCACCTTTAAATTCTGTGTATATGATGGTAGGTGCTCTTCACAATCAAATCAGTCTCTAATTTTTCTGAGTTGCTATCACATCTTCAAAAGTGATATATAACCTGAATTTTTGACAATCATAGAGCAGCTGTTGAATGGCATTTTAAAACCAAATATGTCAAATAAGTAGGCTTTTTAAAGCTAATCAGTGTTGAGTAAAACGTATAAAAGAATGAGTATACATACTGAGAAATAACAATCCAGGTAATCTTGGAGAGTAGTGTAGACTGTTTTTAGATGATATTAAATCACTTTAACACGACATTTATTTTTCTAATTATCAGTGGTAATTGAATCAATAAAGGTCTTATAGTCAGCAAGACCTGAAGCAGAAGTTAGTGTAAAATTGAGTATCCTGTGCTAGATTTTAAATTTTAATTGGCATTTGTAGCTAATTGAACTATAACCAGTTTCATATATGATCTTAATGAAATCATCAGAACTTATTTAGACTTTGTACTACTGATCCTAATCATGAGAAATACATCTTTTATACATACTGTGTAGTTTGGATAGCTTTAAGGAGCAAATTGAACTGAAGCCAAGGGCACAGGTGCACTGCAGTGAATGTCTTTGTGATCCTTGTGTTGACCTGCATGGGAAAAAATGGAATTGTAGTTTTGTTGAAACACCTTTAACCTTTCCCTTTGCTAGCACTGCCGCTCTGTTCGCATCTTCTTTGGCCAGCCTTTGCTTTGTAATGCATTGAGCATGTAGAAATTAAGGGGGTTTTGCTCTTAACTTTGGTAGTTCAGAAATGGGGCACAGAGGAAGTTGCTGCTTGGCTGGATCTGATCAATTTGGGAGAGTACAAAGAAATCTTCATCCGTCATGACATCAGAGGGGCTGAACTTTTGCATCTGGAAAGGCGAGATCTGAAGGTATTTCCTTTGTGCTACTCTTTGCTCTTGAAATTTTCTTGCAAAACAGAACCTTTTTTCCTGTGCCTCTTCTGTTATGTGCTTATAGCTTGGCTTATCTTATGCAAACATGCAGTAATCTAATATGCATTGTCCTGTGGTCTGAATTCTTTGTATGCTTTTTAAACAAGAATGTCTGCAATATTTCCCTGTCAAAGTCCTTCTCCGGCTATTACAACTAAAGCATGACTTTGGTCATTTTCCTCTGCATCCATTGGTATGGCTGTCCCCATGTGCGAATATTTTAAATGGATGATGTTTCCATCTGCTCATTCTACTGGATTAGCATGAAGGGTGATAATTGTTGCGGAAAATGACTAAAAAAATCTAATATAATGTTAAGAACTGAAGATTAACTCAAAATATCAATAATAAAGCCTTTCTAATATATGGAACTAGATGACAGATTTATAGCAGTTCTCTGCTTTTGTTGCATTTCTAAATTGACCTTTTATATTAGATGTCAGAGGAATGACTAGACCAATAAATGTAAATTTCCTTTCTAAGACTTACTGTTAAAGTTGCATTATGCTAAAATATAAATTTATTATTTTCTTTAGTAAATGAAAAAAAGTCATGCCCTGCTTTTGCTAGAAAGCAGCTCAAAGCCTAATTGTCATTTATGATGGAGAAGGAAAATCATTAATTCATGGTCTGCAGCAATTCCCTTCCATTCTTTGGGTGGAGACTCAACAGTAGAAATGGCCAAAGTGGCCTACTGGGTGTCAGAGTTAGGAGTAGAGTTTGTCATGTTATATTTTCTTACTGTATGCTGCCATTTTAAAATTCCAAGATGCTTAATAAACAACTGGCAAACCCTTCAACATTCATTGGAGTGATCTCTTTCCTGTAGACCAGGTTCTAAAATGCTTGATTCAGTAAGTTCCTAACAAATTCATGAAATGTCTGCATTTTAATCTACAAGAATGTTAGACATTTTTGAACAGATGGAGGTAATGTAAAGTACAGATCTTTACAATATGCAGACTTACACAGTTTTAGCACATCAAAAGTGGATACCATTTATACCTAAATATTTTTAACCCAGAATAATAATAAAATAATAGATTAATTTATTACCTTAGTTGAGGGTCCCAAATCTAGAACCCAGCAAAAGATAGTGTTCTAGTTCGTAAAGTAAATATTGACTTCAAAACTTGAAATGAATGGACCAAAAAAAGTGGGGGGAGATCATCATTTACAATATATTTGTGTAACTACTGGTTGATGTATTTTATGGCAGCTTCTCTTGGTGATGTTTGCTATCTGGAAACTTGCATCTCATTTGCCATGAATAAGCAAGGAAAAGATTATGTGTGTATGTGTGTTTGTATATACATGAATATGTTATATATGTGTACATACAAGCATATATAAACATGCAAATACATACACAGTGAGCGAAGCAAATATTTGTAGAATGAAAATAATGACATACACACATACTAAGTCAAAGTTAGAGTGGTAAGACCTGGCTGGAAAAAAAGACTAAGAGTAAAAAGTAGATAGTAAAGAATTATTTTACTAAACTTTCTCTAGCTCTCTCAGGACTTTGTTTCTGTTTTGCTTTTATATCTAATACAAATAACATTCTTTCCCTTAAAACATTTTTTTTTAGAAATTTGTATTGGTGGTCCTTTTAAATTCTTTTGGTTCTAAAATAGAGTGTGGGAAAATGGGGAAAGAAAAATAATTGTACAGAAAGAGCCTTGTGTAGAACAAAACTGTGAAAGTAGAGATTGAGTTCATCTTGGTTTCTGTGGTTGTAGCTGTCAGAGAGAGAACACACTTCAAAATAAAATCTCTAAATGGGAAGGATTACCTACACTGTCAATAAATACATTATCAGTGGTTCACAAGTTCACATTTCCAGCCCTGACCCCATTTGTGAATTTTAGGATAATGTTACCAATTCTACTTGATACTTAGCTATTACACGAGGATGTCGGTCCTAACATGTCCAGAACCAAACTTTTGATCTCCTGCCCCACTCCCATTCAGCCCCTCCTCCATTGCTCTGCATCTTAGTAATCACCCCTCTCTCCTTCCAGGTGCTTGAGCCAGAGAAGCCCAAGTGCATACTTACTACCTCCCTCTTCGGTATCCTTCCCCTCCTAGCTCATTAAGCCCTTCACAAGGTCAGGTTGCTTTTTCCTTGCCATATCCTACTCCGCAGTACTGTAACCTCTGCCTCTGTGAAGTTAATGGCTTCCTAACTGGCCCTTCTACTGCTGTTCTTGCTCTCTCCATCCCATTATCCACATTGCAACCAGAGTGATAATATTCACATCGGGCATATCACTTTTCTGCTTAAAACCTTTTAGTGGCTTCTTGTGTGTGTTAGAATAAAAACTCACATCTTTGTGAGGCCATCAGGTTCTATCTGTTTATTCAACCTGTGGTGGATTGACTGACCCCCTGCTGGGTTATATCCTACCTACTCTGGCCTTATTTCATTTGCTTAAAAATAGTGAATTCTGTCTCACCTTAGGAGTGTACTCTCTGATGGTATGTTTCTCCCCCCATCCCTCACCTGGCTAACTCCTGCCCAGGTCTTGGCCCAGATGTTACTTCCTTATCCCCATAACTACTAGAAGTACCAATGTGACTGTCTAAAAGCAGCAAAGGGAGAAAGTTATACCACAGATGAATAAATAAATTGCAGTATTTTCTCTACTGGAAAAAGTAGAGAAAACCGATGGATGCCCCCCAAAATGGTAAAGACACAGTGGCTTTTGTTTGTTTGTTTGTTTGTTTTTTATTTTTTCCTTTTGGAAAGTTGTGTATGTATGGGCTAGAAAGATAACTGAATGTTTGCAAAGCATGCTTCTGCGAAATTAGGCCTATTCATCCAAAGAAAGCAAAAACCAATAATAAAGATTATGAAAAAGTGAATTACGAAATATGTAAGTGATGTCAGGACATAACTTTATCACAGCCTAACTTCTCAAAGACATGAAAGCATTGAACTGAAACTAAAGAAAATATAGCCAGGAAGTTAGTGTAACTCTGTGGAAAACTTTCATCTCATTATACTGTAATAGTAATTTTGAGTAGAGACTACCCCTCTCAAAGAAGTTTTTATTCTTCAGATACAATGTGCATATGGCCTGAAATAAAATATTTAGTGTAAAATATAATACTTTATTTTAAAAAATGTTTGTGTTATGATTGACATTCAGTGTTCTTATGTGCGAGTTTCAGGTGTACAGTGTGGTGGTCAGGCAATCGTACTACTTCACAGAGTGCTCCTCTTGATAGTTTCACTGGCCACCTGGCATCATACATAGTTACTATAGTGTTGTTGCGTATATTTCCTGTGCTGTTCACATCACTGTGACTCTGGCAACTACCAATTTGCAAATCTTAATCCCTTCACCTTTTTCACTAACACCCCTTCCTCTGGCAACCATCAGTCTGTTCTCTGGATCTGTGAGTCTGTTTCAATTTTGTTTGTTCATTTATTTTGTTCTTTAGATTCTATAAATAAGTGAAATCATATGTATTTGCCTTGTTCTATCTGTCTTACTTCACTTAGCATAATACTTCTAGGTCCATCTATGCTGTTGCAAGTGATAAGATTTCATTATTTTTTATGGTCAAGTAATTCTCCGTTGTATATATGTACCACAGCTTTTTTATTCACTTGTCTATTGATGGGCACTTGGATTGCTTCCCCAGATAACCATGTTATCACAAAGTATAAAGAATATTAAACATTCCACTTAAAGAACCTGAATACAACTGTAAATGCATTTACATTTCAAATTTAGGCAGCAGGCACTGGTATTATATCTTCCTCTAGAATTTGGCCTTGCTTGTGTTATTTTAGCACACACTCAGGAAATGTTTAGTAGCCTTAAGACTGATCGTGGATGACCTGTCACCATATGAGAAAATATTTTTCAGGGTCAGTTAAATATTGTAAAAATTTTACCCTGAAGTTATCCCAAGTTTGAAAAAAAGCACTATCTATGGAAAGAGCATTTTCCAGAGGATTCATAGTCTTCGTTAGCTCTGCTGCTATAGAATTCAAACTGCTCATAAAGTGTTGGGTTGGCCAAAACTTTGTGTGGTTTGTTCTGTGTGACAGCTCTAATAGCACTTAGTTGCCCTTACCTTCATTTGAAACAATTTTGTTGGATGGTATTGTAACAACTGTCATATCAACGTGCACTTTTTAAAAATTATCAAAATTGGTGAATTTTTTATATAGAAGGTAAAAGAAGATGTGCAACATTTTGGCATATTATGCTTTATTATTTCAAGAAAGGTAAAAACGCAACTGGAACACAAAACAAGGTTTTTGCAATGTATGGAGAAGGTGCTGTGACTGATTGAATGTGTCAGAAATGGTTTGCGGAGTTTCTTGGTACTATTGACGTTTTGGCCCAACAGTTCTTTGCTGTGGGGCTGCCTTATGCACTAGAAGATGTTTAGCAGCACCCCTGGCTTTTTCTCACTCGATGCCAGTAGCGGGAGATAGCCGACATACTCAAAATATTCAAATCAATGAAGTCATTGATGAAAATGAAAAATGTGTCTTATATTTTATGGGAAAAAAAATGGACATTTTGGCCAACCCAGTACCTTATAATCCTATTTTCTAGGCTACTTTGGAAGTAGTAATCACTTTACTAATTTTCAAGTGTTTTAAGTTCTGTTTTGTAAAGTTATCCACTTCACATTTTATGCCCCTTACACTTAAAGAAGCTGTTGTGTTTGGAAACCTTCACCCTTTCTTTTAGTTTTTCAGATAGTGAATGTTATGGTTATCTTTGATGAGTTTCATTAATTTCCACAACAAATATTTATTTGCCAAGTGCCTGCTATGTGTGCACACTCTGCAATCATCATCCTTTTCTGAGCTAACTGTTGAATTCTTGGTTCTTCATAGAAAGAGTTCTTCAAGAAACAAGATAGAAAGATAATTCTTCAAGAAACAAGAATTCTGAGGGAAAGGAGCCAAATGTCTTTGAGGAAAAGCATCAACCCACATATACCTATGCTTAAGAATTTTTTAAACCTAACACATTACAAAGTGTTATTTAAATGTTCCTCTGAAATCAAAGACTCTGAATGCAACTACAAGTGCATTTGTGTTCCAAATTAAGGAAAGGGGCACTGGTATCTTCCTTGAGGATTAGGCCCCGCTTTCGCTTTAGTGAGGACATGTGTAGTGGCTTTAATTTCAGACTAAGTGTGGGTGCCCAGGTGTCACCCATTCTTTCCTCAGGGATCCCGAAGGAACCGCTGTTCTTACAAAAAGAAGAAAAGAGAGAAACTAATTTAGACTCTTGAAGAACTGCCATTTGTGAGAATGTTACATTTAAGAATTTGTGTAGGATGTGATTTTTTACTGGTTGGTAAAATTTCAATGTCAGGTTATTTTTGTTTTATAAAATTTTTCTAGCTTTCACTTCCCAAATCATTGGCTATAAATTAAAATAAATGAAGTAAATGCTATTTATAAATTAAATATTTTATCCCTAATTTCCTCTTGTCAGTAAACTTCTTTCTCTTCCTTCTTGCTTTCTTTGTACCTTTTTTCATTTTTTTTTTTTTTAGGACCTGGGGATACCGAAAGTGGGGCATGTGAAGCGAATTCTCCAGGGAATTAAAGAGCTTGGAAGGAGCCCTCCCCAGTTTGAGGTGTAATCATATTGGTGCTATTCCTTGGAAGGAAAGTAATTGCTACTTAATACAAAGTTCTTGGGAGCAATTGGCTGTTTGGTTTTCTGCCTAGATAAGTAAGCACCACTAAGCACCTCTATGGCTTGATATTTTGCTGTGGGTGAACATTTTGATTTGAAGTATTAGAAAATATTTTTGTGCCAAAAATACATTTCACAAAGCCATTTTCTTATTGTGCAAACCTAACGTGTTCAAATTTGCTCATGTTAGTAAAAAAGTAGGAAGACTCTGAGACAATTGGATTGTTGAAAAGGTGGGATTGCAAATTGTTTATTTTCCTTAAAGCTGGACACGTGGAATGTTCTTATTGTGCAACCATAAAACAATGTATGGCTAAAACCTCTTAGATCTCACTATTGGAAGCATTGGCTTCTTCCTTAAAATCATTGATTAGGAGACTAAGATATATCAAGGTGTGTTTTGGATGTTAGATTGGTATCACCTCAGATTCCTAGTGCTCAGTGGTCAAATAATATGCTTAAAATCCCTCAAATACTATGAATGAATGCGAATCTGAATGCACGATGTTGCTGCCTGAATTGTCTTTTTCTTGCATGTCACATCTAATATTGTTAACGCTTAGTTTTAATGTCAGTTTTAATGGAATTAATTTATTACTACCTAAGTACTGAAGTACGTAAAGGCACCTTTCTTTGATGTGGACTTTGTATAAATATTCTGTATCTGAGAATTTTTGAACATGTGTCTGTGCCATAATCAACAAATGATACACATATCTTGCAAACCAATTTTATATCCACTTATCATAAACAATAGGTATACACATTAAGAAAATTCTGTGGATATTTTCATAAAATTACATGTTCTGTTGTCTAACAACACTATGTTTTTCTAAACCAAAATTCCCACATGTTCTTATTTTTGCATTTCAATTTAATAATTATTTAATGCTGTGTTTGCATTTATAATAGAGTAGACCGTTGACCTCCAGGAATCCCTTCAGTGTCTCAGCTGGGATTTGTATACTGATGTCTGATTAGTCATGCAGACTTTACCCACTAGTTCAAGCTACTCGTGACATGAACTTCCTCTCAAAAAGGGAAATTTAAATTATTTTAAAGGCCTTTACATTCTTATTATTATCTCACATAATTCTTATATCCTATCAAGTAGCTATTCCTTTTTCTAAGCTACTATACTTTACTGTAGCCCATTAGGAGTCAACATTGCAATTATCAAATCTTTGAAAGCCAACGGCATACATATCAAAAAGTCATGCAAATATCTTTAAATAAGCTTTAGATATTATATACCAAAAATTAATTATGATATTTAAAAATCTTCTATATAAAAGAAGTAAACAGGGTACTGTACTGACCCAGTGGTGACAATATTCATAAAGTAGCTTTCTAGGTAGGTGCTCAATAAATATACATACACACACATATATACATATACACATACATATGTATATACATGCATATACATTTATATGCGTATTTATACTTATAATTGCAAAATATACTCTCATTGATATTTTCTAGACAACTATTTGCTGAATGCTTAAAAAGAAATATTGACGGGAAAGCATTAAAATGAACTATTGTCAGACATAATTAGATCAAAGGAGTTTAAATATTTGACACTTTAATCTTATTCATAACTTTAGTATTTAACTCTAGTGAAAAGTCACAAAATTTGGATATCTTAAAAATAAATGAACCTGATGATTTCCTGACCAAGTATGTCTGACTATAAATATTTTACCTAAGTTGTGAATAAATGGAAATTTTCCAAAGAGAATTATATCAAGTAGCTTAATGGAGTAAAAAGCCCTTTGCATAAAATGTTAATGTTATCCACACCTAAGAAATCAAAGGCCTTCTTTTCTAGTCCATTTTTTTAGCCCTACCCTCCACCCCTGCAAGGAGTCTTGCTCTCCTAGGCACTTTGCTGTGGAATCAGTATAGGAGATGCCAGGTTCTCCAAACTCAGTGGAAGTCACAGATCCCTGTCCAGCTTTGCCCAAAAAGGAAAGATGGGTCAAGGAGGTGAGGAACTCTAGAAAAAAATGAATGAATATAAACCTCTTTATTGATTTTCACTGCCCTGAAATACCACTTTGCCAATAGAAAAAGTTCTCAAGCATTTCTTGTAACAAAAGTTCTTACATTTTCAGAATGTAAGAGTAAGATGTAAATGATTAAATTTTTTTGTTTGATGTTGATCTTTCATTCTTAGATACCATCTTTTATATTTACTGTAAAGCCTCTGTTAATGGACTCTTTAGTTAGGTAGAATTTTCCTGCAAGTGGCTCTTCGATAAGGGAAATCCTTTAAAATGACAATTTTATTTTTTTTTAATTTTGTTAAATGAGAGTAATTTTTCCTGTCCACTTTGTCATTTGTGGTTACATAGGACCAAAATGACTTCATTTAACACCTTTCTGCCAGGGTGGTGCCCTCAGAGCCTCCTTAGGCCCAGGTCAGTATCACAGAGGAACCAGCTTCCTGTCATAGATGAAGTTACAAAAAAAAGTGGGAAGAATTTTTGTCTGGTACCTGATCACAGCTCTGGAAGGTGCAGGTGAGACCTTTGTGCCTTGATCCACGCATAAGCTGGGGTGAGAAGCCCAAGCCTGCTCCCAAATGCCAGCTGTCCTTGCCACCTTTCCACTCCAATAGACTGTTCTACATGCAAATAATTTGGGAGGGACGGAGAGGAATCACAGCCAACACCCACTTCCCTTCAGTCTCATTTTCCTGAGGAAGAACTTGCTTTTCAAGAAGGAAAGGGACGGAGTCAGGCCTCAATAAATTTCAGTGTCTACTTGATTTTTCTCTTCCATGTCTTTCCACTCCCTTTCTGAGTTTCTGTCCCACTTCCTGGTTTCATGTTTTCCCACATGCCCAAGACAGCGATGGTTGCTCACATTCTCACTGCTGTATACCGCTCTTTCCTCATCAGCTGTCCTACCGCAAAATGACCCCTTTCATTTCTCCCCACCTTAGCACTCATTGGGGCTCATCTAGCCAAGTTTTAGAAAGAAAACAATTTAAGGAAACTAATTTTACAGTTTGCATTTCATAAAAGGAAGCTAGCTAATCTAAGTGAATTAATGGATTTGATAATTCAGGGACCACGGGGTGGGTGTGGCGGGGGGGCGGGGGTGTGTGTGTGTGTGTGTGTGTGTGTGTTGCTGTGACTAAGATGAGGTGACCTGTTAATGTCTCTATCTGTGCTGTCCAGTATCATAGCCACTAGCCACATGTGGCTATTTAAATCTAAATTAATTTATGTAGAAACTGAGTTTCTCAATTGTTTTAGCCACATTTCAAGGGGTAAATAACTGCAGTGGACAGTACAGATGTTGAACATTTACATCATTACAGAAACTCTACTGCATAGCAGTGAGCATTGCCACCCAAAATGTGTTCCATGGACCAGCAGCATCCTTATCACCTGGGAACTTATAGAAATGCAGATTCTTAGGTTTAGTCCAGACCTACTGAATCAAAACATTTTAAACAAGATTCATTGGTGATTATCACTGGCCTAAATACATTTTATCCCTCCTAGATATTAGGGATCTGAGGTCTTCAAAAGGCCCTCAGAATAGCTCACTCCCCGATCCACTGTTTCATATCGCCTCTCCAGGTAATCCTAGAAATCATTTGAAACTCATTTATCACCATAGCTGAGTTTTCTTCTCAGTCCTAATTCTGGTACTAGATGAGCCCTACATACCCAGTAATTACATTTTGGTAGTGAAGGTGGAACACAGGAGACTGGCTAACCCACACAGCTGGCCTCTCGGCAGTCCCTTACCCAGATCTTAGTCACTGTCAATCTACGTCCACTCAGTTTGTTGCTCACGTGTCATTCTCATTTGTTCACAACTTAAGTCACAGGAAATATTTCAGAAGAATATGTACTGAGATAAGTGAGACTGGGTCAGTCTTTGACAACTTGTACATTTTCACTTTCTTTTATCGGTAGAGTATCCTTTTGACATAGTTCATGCTTGAGGACATTGCAGCACTCACATTAAATGAATCATTAGGCATAAAAGCTCAAAAGACTGCAGGTAAAGTAAAATGTGTCATTAAAGCCCTCAGAGAAGGCATATTTGCTAGTCTAAATCTGTTTTTCTTATGCTAACTTAATGTTCATTTTCAGGTAGCTAATAATTTCTTAAAATAGTGTCCGAAAAATATTATATCCTTGACCCTCAAAATACAAATTATTTAATTCTACAGTAAGACCTTTTGCAATGACTGTCAATAATCCTTCACTTAATTTTTATATGTTGATATAATTTACCAAAACACTGCTTCATAGAGATTCTGTAGCTTTCATGGACAAAGAAGGCACTACTTTAATCTTAATGGAAGTTGTTTTTAACAGGAATTGAGGAAGGAAATGTTCATGCAGAGTCATAACTTAGACAATAATAGTAGGAACTTTTATACATTCTTCTAAAGCAAGTTATCTATTATCTCCAACTGGGCTGATAACATGTTGGACTTTTGTGTTAATACAGATGTGAATTCCTTAAGGATATAGCTTTTCATTAAACTATAAAAGCATTACCTCTCTCTGCCTTGATATCTAGTGTTTCTCCTGACCTCTCCCCACCCCCCACTCCCAGAAAATAAACCCATACTGCATTTTTCAGATAAAATTTGGATAAAATAGTGGGTCTAGAGATATATGATACAAGTGGCAGTTTTAAAACACCAAGTCCTTTAAATCAGCTGAAATGAGTGAGAAGTGAAGATTCCTCAAATAGCATTGGACAATTGAGTAGCCTCCCCACGCCTCTCCATCTCTGCTCACCACCCCATGCCAAGTCCAGTGGGGTCTGGGACAGGTCTGTCCCTGCTATGGCTTCTCCCCAGTGGCTTTTGTACAGCAATCTCTGTCAGATGTAATATGTTGCCTTTGCAATAGGATGCATTCCTAGAGAAATAGCCAAAACTTTAAAAAGGCCATGATTATTGGTTTTATAATAAGCAAAGCACTAATTTTTAATCTTTATTGATGTTTTCTCTTGACTATTTTCTCCAGGTTTTGTTCAGAGATATTTCTGTTAGAATAAAAAACTGTAAAGGTTTATTATTACAAAGAACAGTGAGCTAAAAGATAGCTGGACTGTACCTGTTTTTATACTTCTTTCTGTTATTTTCAGGAAAAGAAGTTTAACAGAGTAACTGAGACTGCATTAAACTCAGTAATGATGTTTTAAAAATCATATTACTAATATAGGTAAACAGATTAATTTCCTTTATGTAACTAAGATATTTTATTTACATATATTTATATCATCTCTCTTAATTTTTCATGCACTTCCAAGTTTTAATTGGAAAAATAGAATCCAAGCCACTACTTAAAAGTTCTAAAAACTTTACATAAAATATTTTATTTTAGCTACAAGTTATTCATTGCATAGGAATTTATTAACAGTCTGAGTATTTCATAGGAACTGCATTTCAAGAATAAATTAGCCAAACTTAAAGGAATGCAGGGTTACTTTTAAATGTATTAAAATAAGTTTTGTGCTCAGTTAATGATGCCATTGAAGTAGGATAATGCAGTTGGATATACAGGCTCAAAAGGAAAAAGAATATATTTTGTGGTCCTTACTATTTGATTGCACTATTGTTTACCACAGGTTAGCCATGTCTATTTCTATATTCTAAGTATTAAGCTAATATATAACTAAGATTTCTTACAGTTCTGGTAACTGGTAACTCGTGTTGTGAAAGGTTTTGATATTGTAACATTCCCAGTTCTGTAAGTTATATATTGTATATTAGGAAAATGAATAAATTGAAGTAATATATTTGACTAGAGCTGGGAAAATATGGTAATTATTTTCAAATCTTTAAGTAAGTTGTATCAAAGTATTTTCCTCTTAAATGAGATAAAATTCTCACTTCTATGTTAAAATGTCTATATATACAACAGGTTTCTCCTTTTACTTGTTTTATTAATTTTCATAGTAAAATTTTTCTTATCTTTTTGTACCCAAATAATTAGGTCATGCTGGTTATTCAAACTGCCAAAATGTACTTTAGTTTGCTGGACTTGTGGCAGACAAAATATTTAATAACAAACCAGCTTTGTATATTTTGTGGCTTTGGGACAAGAATTTTACCTTTGAATCTCTTAAGTGAGGCAGTGCTATTGTCAGCAAAGTCAACAATAGACAGTATTATTTGTAATCGTCAGTAGAAGCTTTTCACAAGTTGTATAAATCAGTGCATTTATTTATTATGTTATGAAATGTAATCTTTATACAAAATGCATATTCTAACTCTTGTTACTGCTGTTGCTTAGAGTATAATAGCTCTGTTAATGATTTACTTGCATACTTGAAGTACTCATTTCTGTCAAACAGATGCCCAATTTTTTTCCTTATTAAAAAAAAGGTGTTCTCTACTATCATAGGTAACTGAATAGTAATAGCAACTGTGTTAAAAAATAATTCTCGTGTTTAAAATAAATGTGGAAAAAGTCAAAAAGCCAAAATGAAATCACCACTATTAAGGATTTAATGTAGCCAAGGAATTTATAATACTACTCATAGCTGAATTCTGTGATTCTGGAGACAGGAATATGGTTTAGGTGTGGTGGGTTCCATAACTGACTTTGGTGCTCACTCACCGTGTCATTTCTACAAACTCTATGCCTCCATTTCCTCAATTAGGGATGGCACACAATGTTATCAATTATAAGTACTTGGGAATCTTTCTTTGGCAAAAGGAATTCTGTAAGTGTGAATCATACCTAAATTTACCATTCCTTTCCCACTATCATTTGAGACATAAAAGTTTCCAAGACTATAGCTTGAAAATTAAAATTCCAAATTAATATCCCTTTTGATGTTCAGTTTAAAAAAAGTGAAGTTACATTAGTACTCTCTGTACCAGAGTAGGTTATGGGTATTTTCACCTGTGCACTTACAGGCTCAAATTGTGCATTTTAGGATAGTCTAAAAACTCACCTTTAAAATCTTCAGAAATTTAGTAGTATTTTTTTCTGCACCTGCCCCAACCAACCGTTTTACAGCAGTGAATATTTTTTTTTAAATTAAGACCTTCATGTTTTCTTATGTTAATTCTCTAAAGAGGAAAATGTTTCTTTCTTCTTCTCTTCCTCTTTTTGAGAGGGGCGGGGGGACTTTTTTTAAATCAGTCATTAAAAAAATGGAACACAGGACTCCCTTACCTTGTTGTATGCTCTGATGTCACTTACTCTTTATATTAAGTGACAGCAGAATGGTTTCCTTGCTGCTTGATCCCAAGCATGGATCACTGGCTACATTCTCTGCTTGTGGAATGCAAAGTACCTTCAAAACTTCTGTAAAGAGACTAAACTAGCCATTGCCCTAATTACTGACATAATGAAAATCTGGGTACAATTAGGGGAAATAAACTAGAATAACCTAGTTAAAATCATTAAATATAGATGAGAGTAAATGAACATTGCTTTTATTTTTGCCTGACATTTGAATTCAGTCACTATTTGACCCTTGACTTAATTAAGATTTCTTTGCAAAATCTGGTGTCATTATAGCATAATATGATAACTTGGAGCTCTTATTGAATCCTCCTCCCCTAAAAGTGTGTAAGCTATATGACATAAAAGAAAAGACTGAGTCAGAACTTATTCATGTGGTATTTTGATGTCTTAATAACACAAGTTAGTTTTTTTTAAAGGTTTATTTTCACTTGAGAGAGAAGGGAAGGGAGAGAGAGAAATAAACATCTGTGTCAGAGAGAAACATCGATCAGTTGCCTCCTGAACGCACCCCAGCAGGGCATCAGACCTGCAGCCTAAGCATGGCACTGACCAGGAACTGCTCAGGCAGCCTTTCAGTTTGCGAGATGACACCCCGCCAACTACACCACACCAGCCAGGGCACAGCTTAGTTGTCATAATGGCAGATCTCTAATGGATGATTCCAGAATGATTTGGTATAGAAACAGGAAGAAGTCACTTTTCTGGAAATTTGCTTCCCACAATGACCTGATATACAGTTGACCTTAGTATAATTAAAATTAATGACGATTTATTTTAGAGACATT